GAGTCCGTAATTGAAATGCTTTCGGAATACATTCCGCCACAAAATGACGACGAAATCAAAATCAAACAAAAACGCGAACGAAATAAAAAGATTAAACGCTATGTTATGATAGGGTTGGCCAGTGTTGGCGGCGGTGCTATCATTGGTATGATTGATATGCAATTGTTGTGAATAAAAGTATGATTTACCGGAATATATGTTACTTTTTCAGGACTGACGGGTGGTTTGGCGGCACCGTTTGTGGCCGCGGGTGCGGGCGCTATAATAGGTACGGCTGGGGCCGCGGTTTTGGGCTCATCTGCCGGTATAGCGGTAATCGGTTCGCTGTTTGGCGTCGCCGGCGCCGGACTTACGGGCTATAAAATGAAGAAAAGAGTGGGAGATATTGAAGAGTTTGCTTTCGATACGTTAACGCCCGGTCGGGAACTGCACCTAACGATCGCCATCTCTGGTTGGGTGACACAAGAAGGCGCCCAAGCGTTCAAAGAGCCCTGGATTTCGCTATTGAATTCACGCGAACAATACTGCATTCGCTATGAGTCTTCATATCTGCTAGAGTTGGGTCGAGCCATGGATTACTTTCTGGGATTCGCCGTCAGTATGGCTGCTCAGGAGGCTCTCAAATACACTATTCTCAGTGGACTCATAGCGGCGATCGCATGGCCCGCAACACTGGTCACAATGGCCAGCGCTATAGACAATCCGTGGGGTGTTTGCATCAGGAGGTCAGCAGAAGTTGGCAAACATTTGGCAGAGATTCTCATTACTAGACAACAGGGCAGACGTCCCGTCACTTTAATAGGGTTTAGTTTAGGCGCTCGGGTTCTCTACTTCTGTCTCCAAGAAATGGCTCAGAGAAAGGGCTGCGAAGGTATCATCGAAGACGTGATCCTATTGGGCGCTCCCGTCCCGGCGTCTGTCGACCAATGGAAGTCATTTGGACGCGTTGTGAGCGGACGTATAATCAACGGCTATTGCAGAGGCGATTGGCTCTTAAAGTTCTTATACCGGACCTCTTCGGCCACTTTAAGGATAGCAGGTCTTCAGGCCATTGATTGGAACGATAGGAAAATGATTAACACAGACCTCAGCCATATTGTAAGCAATTTGAAAATTTATTACCTGAAAATATGTTGTCTTTATTTTGCTAATAACTCGCGATTGACTGTCCATTAGGTGACGGGTCATATGGATTATATGCGCAAAATGAGACAAGTGTTGGAGGCTATAGGGGTTCGCACCACTGAAGAGCCTAACATCTCCGCAACTGAACTCCATATGCGAAGAACTCATTCAGATATAACACAAATAAACCACAAACTCTACTCTCAGATGTCGTCGTCGAAGTCCGACTCCAATATAAGGCGCCGCTATTCCGAGCCTATAGTTTGCGGTTCAATGAACCCGTATTCGGCCAATTCATCCAACTTTTCTCGCAGGTCTTCTTCGTTGGAAAGCATTTTAAGCAAAATAAGCCGTTTTTCAGGCGTCACTTCAACGCCGCCCACGATCTCCAGTCCCGACTCTATGAAGAATTCTAATTATAGAAAATCGACTGATTTTCTAAATGTTCCGCAATAATGGTTGTGATTGTTGTGATGATTAGCTATGATTTGCACAAATCATAGCTAAACTATAAATTACTATTAATTGTAACGAAACGCCAATTTTCAATGAAACCAATTAATTAATTTATTAGAAAAGCCCAACCATTAGAGCAGTTTAGGAATAGTTATAATAATTATTGTAGTATTTGAGACCAAATACCCAAAGATAATCACTAGTTATTCATCAAAGTATCGACAAAAAGAAAGGTTATTACAAGAAACGAATTGAATATTGTTTATAAATTTACAATAGTTGTGATATAATCATTATTTTTCATTTATTTATTACAAACATATATGAAATAATGAGACAAAACAACAAATGGTTTGCCTTTTAATTACATATCGAATTCATTTATAATCCAATATTTAAAATGTGTATTAAAACCAGTAAGAGATATACCAAGAAATTAATTTAATTGTAGTTATAATTAATGCAAAACTAGACAAAGAATATTAATTCTGTTAATATTACAACGAATTGAGTCAAAAGGATGTATAGATTTTTTTCCAGACACTTATCTACTGAACAGTCGATGCCGTAAATGAAGCACAATATGCTTGAGTTCTTGAGGGCCAATATATACGGGTTTGACCTGTTTTAAGACTCTGGGCTTACATTTGGCACATCATTGTCGGCGCGTCTGTTGAGTACATGAGTGCAAAACCAATTGTCAGTCCAGTATTTCCTTCGACTCCACAGAGAGTATCATAATATAGACAATTAAATATATAATTATTGCAATCAAATGCAAAAAACGATAGTTTTTAAGAAATGTTATGAAAACCTGTGACACGAATTTGAGTTCAACAGCTATTATAGGATATGTTATTTTCAATTTACAATTATAATTATTGTGTTTATTGTAAACCATTATATTTATTACATAACTTGTCATTTATCTAAGACTTAATTTTCAAATTATCGCTAATAATATTTGTTTTAAAATCAATTAATTTTAATTTAAAAATTTTATTATAATTTCAAGAAAATAATTTATACCGTATTGTTATTTTAATTGTGATAACTATTTAACTTATATTTTCTGTACACATATGTTGAAGAATTTAATTGTTATGTATTAGAGATTTTAATTATATTATAAATATTTAGTAATAAATAAATATTAAATTGAATTAAAAATAACTCAAACTTTAATTTGAAACTCCAGTAAAAGTGAAATGATTTGTCGTAACGTTATATATGTATGAATTGCATCAGCCGTTCGCACATGTGTTTTGATTGGGGTTTGCCTTCACTTGTTATCAATAGTTTGTCTGCAATTAAGACACCGTTCGCTGCCATTGAGGACACTCTCACATGAAGTTAGGGAACCACTCGAAGATCGCTATCTCTTGGTATGTCTTACCTATGCATACAATGTGTTCATTGCATAACACGTGCCATACATTGATGTCTCACTTATAGGACTATATTTGCAACTCTGGGTATTGCGGGCTTTTTTGTGGCCAAAGAGTATGTCTATAACAACCGCTTCCAAGCGATGCGAGTGAGGACTGACATCAGGAAACGACTACAAGAAGACAAACCTAAAGAACAATAGACAGACCGACACTTGGACTCAATTAGTAGACACCGTTTGAGTGAACAAACATTTTAATTATTTTGAAATTATAATCAAATCGCTATAACTGTGGACACAATGAGTGGACCGACTGGTGGGCCGTCCTTACAATTGGACGCATCAAAGATGCAATTAGTGGCCGATTTGGAGATAGAGATGATGTCCGATATGTATAACCGGATGACTCGG